AATCCAAATATAAAAGCTAGTGTGTGTAACACAGAGTATGTGTCGTAACTGCTATAAGCGTATCGTTAATGGTTATGGCGCAATGGGCGTAGAAATAGAAGAAGAAACAACGACAGATGACAATATTTTAATGGACGTAAATGATGAAAAAAATGATTTTCAACCAGTGTCTTGAGTGTTTATAGATGGATTTCATGATAAAATAATGGCTAATTTAGAAAATTCAGTATTTCTTTTGCGTAAGAAAGGAAACATAAAAAATACAAATCTTGAAAAATATGTTATGAAAACACAGAAAGAGCTTGTAATATCACTTTATGAAGCTGCAACTTGTAAATTACAAAAAATTTACGATGTACTTACCGAGAAGCCTGTAAAAAAGTTAGAAAATTATTTGCTTCAAGAATTAAGAAACAATTTCTCTAAATCTTTTAGTAATTGCTCGTGTCTTTCAGAACTGATCAAACTCTTAACACTTATCATGCCCTTGTTATCAAAGTTTCAAATTTTAACGCTATTCCTTACTAATTACATGGTTGACAAGGGAAGTTACTAATTACATGGATTTAATTTTTTTTCAATGAAAAAATGTCTTATAAAAAGGTAATATTAATCATATCTCATTTATTTATAAAAAATATAAATAAATAAATAAATAGATACAGATATTAACATACACACGTACAAAAAAATTATAAATAGAAACAATTACAAACAAAAAACAAGGTATTTATTTGAACACAAACGAGTTTTGATACAAAGTTAGTTTCTTCTTATGATTCTTCATACAATATATAACAAAAAATAAATTAACTATTAAAACATAAATTATGTTCACAACAAAATAATTTATTTACACGTAGTTGTCCGTTTTCAGAATGATTGAGAAATATTTTATAGTTTTTCCACCTTGCTAAAAAATCAAAGTAGACTGGTGCCATTGCTTGCTCGCTATAGAAACATTATCCTTTCCTTTTCGTTGAGCAAAAATCTTTAATATGGTAAAACACAGCATGGAATTTTCGCATGATTGATTTTACCGTAAGTTGCGGTTACGGTGATGAGTCGTAACCGTGCGTGTATTACGGCTAATCGGGCGCTTCTTTCCTATGCGGGTGTTAGTGCTGCACCTGCCGTCGTGCTCAGATTACTGCTGGCGAGTACTCGTAACTCCGCTAGTCACTGCTGGTTAAGTGATGGCTAGAAGGCTAGATACTAGTGCAGCATTGTCCTCTCTTGCCGGCTATATCGATATTACTCTTGCGTGCCTCCTCTCTCTCCAAATTTTTCGCTCTCGCACCTCTGCCGAATCGCGAAGGAATCGGTATTTACAATCGATTACCGTTGCATCATAAGTTCAGCAGAAAAAATGAGACTAATAGAAATCAAAAGTTTGCAATTCGATCGTTTGCGATTTTCCGATATTCGTCAATGTAGTATTTACATTAGATAAATATGAGTATGTATATAGACTGTACGTACTATAGAATTACTCAGGATGGTGTAAATCTGTACCGGCATGAAATGTAAACAAAACGTGTTAATGCATGAAGGCATTTGTATGAAATTTTCGAATGGGTCAGAACACGTAGATATGCGTAAATTTATGTTATATTCATATTTAGCATAAGTATTTATATACTGTTATAATAGTTTTATAATATCAATAGAAATGCAGTTCAAAAAAATTTTTTTTCATTAATATAAGTTTTTTTTTTAATTTTTTTTAAATTTTTAATATAAAAAATTGGTACTTCCTACAATTTTCATATTTGCATTTTTTCGCTCTAAGAACATTGTATAATCATTCTATAAAACAAATTCTGAAGGTACAGAATATTTGGTTTTTTGAGCGTTTAGGCCACCCGTGAGTGAAAAAAAAGACCGTACTTTTGATCAAGTGGTGACTAGCTTGTCTATCATGATAATCCGTCAGCGCATTCATCGAATCTTGTACAGTAGTTTCTGAGTAAAAGCGGTATCGCATTGCTTCAACAACCTTCATATAGTCTCGACATAATCCCTTATGACTTTTAGCTGTTTCCAAAACTCAAAGAAAAGCGATTCGATGAGAAAATAACTGTTGAAAATAATTTTTTCGGTAAATGAAAACATCACTAGAACTATGTTATTTAATCAAGTGGAAATTATTTGAAGGATGCCACCACCTGATGATGAAATATAACGATAGTGTGGAGATACGAGGGGGGGGGGGGGGGTCAATAAGTCTTTACAAAAAGAAGGAAAAAAAGTTTTGCATATGTAATTTTTTTTTATTTTTCAACATAATCTCCTTGAAGATCGATACATTTTATTAAATGGCCTTCCAGTTTTTTTAAGGCATCAGAAAAATATGATTTCTGAAAACCCTCAAAATAGGCATTTGTTTCGGCGATGACTACTTCATTCGACGTGAATCGTTGTCCGGCAAGCCATTTTTTGAGGTTAGGAAATAAGAAAAAGTCACTGGGAGCCAAATCAGGTGAATATGGTGGATGGTCAATTAATTCGAACTTTAAATCGTTAATTTTTACCATCTAAACTGCACACGTGTGAACTCGAGCATTATCTTGAAGAAAGAGGCATTTTTTTTTGTTCAAGTGAGGACGTTTTTCTCTGATTTTTTCTTTCAGCTGATCTAATAATGACGCAGAATATTGTTCAATGATGGTATGGCCCTTTTCCAAGTAGTCGATGTAGATGATTCCATACGCATCCCAAAAAACCGTGGCCATAATCTTACCAGCTGACTTTACTGTCTTTGCTTTCTTTGGGGCTGGTTCTCCTGCGGTAATCCATTGTTTGGACTATTTGGTTTCAAGCGTGTAGCAATGTACCCATGTTTCGTCTACAGTTACGAGTCGACGCCAAGTCTTCCAGATTACGACGTAAGTATGTGTACCAAAAGAGCTTCAGAGGTGACGACGCGGGTTCGTTTGTTTTCAACAGTGAGCAAACGCGGCACCCATCTTGCTGATTTTTTTTTCATCCCCAATTTTTCATACAAAATTGAAATGATTGTACCCTTTGATACCCCTGTAGCCTCAACTAATTCTCACAATTTTAATTTTCTATCACTCAACACCATATCGTGGATTTTGTTGACCATTTCGGGCGTACTCACTTCTACGAGGCGTCCTGAACGGGCGTCCTGAACGAGGTTCATGTTTTGTCGTTGTACGGCCACGTTTAAATTCATTTACCCAGTTATAAACAGTCTTAAATACAAGGACAGACTTGCCATGAACGGCGTTCAACTCAACTGTGATTTCTGTTGTTGTAAGGCCTTTCAAATGAAAATGTTTTATCACCGCTCCATTTTTCAAATAAAACAATAACTTTTTGTTCAACCAACGCTCACAAACAATTTTTAAATAAATTCCGGGACATAAAAAAATGAAATTTGTTCGAAGCGATGACGCTTTCTAGTGTAATTTGAGCTCCAACGCAGTCGCAGTCAGGGTCCAGCTTCCTCGGGTCGCCTTCTTCTTAGTATGAGAAATCGGCCCGCGGAGAGTGTTGGGAGCTATAGGATAATTCGGCTAAAGATAATCAGGAGAAATTAAAGTACGAACAATAGCGCAATAAAATACTGAGTAAATAAAAAAGCAAGAGCGGTAACGTAAATAACAATATGTGGGCTTTAAAGTAACCAACGGTGTATCAAAAAAAAAATTTACAAATTTAGGGTAGAAAAGAAGCAACACCCATGCGTCGCGCAGATACGTGCTACGCAAGTATTTAAGTATACGTGCGCTTACAAAAACAGATGTGTACTCGTAGTACAAGCAGATGCGCCGCTTTGTGAGCTACAACGTATAATGGTAGTGAAGAAACCGGTGCCTGGTGTACAAATGAGTGAACGGACGCGCTTAACCTCGTCGTAATTACGAAATATCATTCCGTGGATATCGAACCACAATATTAATTCGCCATGCGAGAAAGTGCGAAACAAAAGCAGTATGCGTAGTGTGAAAGAATGCACCACAAAAAAAAGAAAAAAAAACAAGCAAGCTAGGGGAGAGAGCGGAGAGAGAATGCCAAGTAGCAATTAGTACTTACAGTGCTCAGTTGCTTGGTAGCCAACAATAGCACACTTGCTTCTCGATAAGCCGTCTCGACTTCCCGGCCATGTGTTAACGCTTCACCTCGTTTTTGGGCGTCTTCTCAAACACTTCAATTGGGTATCTGAGGGTCCACCAAAAACATTTCACAAGCTCGGTTCAATTTTTGCCTCTACTTTTTCAATGATCCGGAATTGAAATAGGTGTTATTATTTAAAATATATATCGTTTTTTTTTCTTTACTTACTATTTATAATTTTCATTTTATTTATTTCATGTGTTTATTTTTTAATTTGGATTTTCAGTTTAATTATCTAATCACCTTCTAATGAAACCGAAGGAGATAGAGTCAAATTGAGAACGTACTTGATTTTAACTTCTCAAAATATGTAAAATATATGAGTATTGTAGAGCGTGAAACACTTTTATTGGTATATCTATATAATATGTGCAATATTTGACGTCATTATGAATTTAAAAATAGATCTTAAAAAATAAAAAAATATATATCTAAACGTAGAATTTCGGAATCTATAGTCAAAAATTTAATTGTACAATAATCATAAATTGAACCTTCAAATATCCTTGAATGTGACGTGATGTAAACTAATGGAAAGTCAGATTTGGTTTCAATGGGCGAAAATTCATGAAATTAGCTAAATTGAATTTTTTCTCGGTTTAGATCGCATTTTGTAGTCTTATGAAATTAATGTGCTTCTCTTTTTTTTCTCTCTTTTTACTATATTTTGTTTTATTTAATATGTACTTATATTTTGCGTATAGGTACCGATGGTTGTATTTTGTTAATTTTTCTTTGTAACCAAAATTGGGTAAAAAATTAACAGTTAATGATAAAAGTAGCAGTGTTTTTTTCCACTAGTATCATTGAAAACAAAACAGGTTTTAATATTTTTATATTTATCGTTTTATTTATAGAGACGTACCGCCTGATGTCATGACATTTTCATTGGTTCTCTATAATAAAGGCAAACGTAGTAAAGATACAGAAGTGGCCGAGTTAACGGTAGACTTATCGGCTTTATCTAATGGCGAAGAAATGGACGAATGGTATCCTTTCTCAGGAGTAACACCACTTGGTGATTGGGGTGCACTACGTTTACGTTTAAGGTATGTATATTATTGAACCTTTTTTATTTAAAAATATGAGTCCTGTAAGAAAGTAAAATACTATTTGAATACAAACAGTATCTTACTTTTTCAAAATATATTTATAGAATTATTTTTTACATGATTTATAAAATTAAACTAAATTAATTCTGTAAGAAGATATACAAATTTCTTTAGAAATATTTTTTTTCCCTTATAAAAAAGTCATGATCAATATGAGGCTAAAATTATCACTATTTGATTGGCTCATGCAGTTCCTATATTAATATTTGAATCAAACCACACCTATCTTAATTTAAATTCAAAATGTTTAATCTAAATAGTGCTACTTTCTTTTTTTCTTTAAAATATAAATGTGTGAAATCATTTTAATCAATAAAACATAATATTTTGGTATAGACGATCTTATGTAACTATTGGAAATAAAAATACTAATACCATAATGCATTAGCACTATGAACCATAATGCGGAATCCTAGATCTATCCGTTATCTTTTCTTTATGGTTCATAAGAATGGCATAGAATTTTAATATGAGTTGGTGAAAGTTTTACAAAAAACAAACATAACCAGATCTCAAAAGAAAAAAAAATTTGGCAAAGTAAAATGTTGTATTAATGTCTTTGCAATTTCCTTACTATTTCTATTTCTATTATTCTTTTCAAATACCACTATTTAATCCACAGTTAAAACTATAAAAACAGCACAGTTGCTATAAATGATACCTTCGAAAACAGAAAAAAGGATTTGTTTTCATAAAAATAATAAAAATTATTAATCTTGTTAAATCTTGTGTGTCTCATTCTCATATTTTTCTAATTTGTATTTAAACTTATGAAAGTAACGAAATTTACTCAAACGTAGCATGGATGCTATTGATCAGTTTTAAATGCTTTAAATAAATTTTTGAAGTATATGTTTAAATCAAATATTACTATTTGAAAATATTATGATATATTATTTCGCAATTTTTTGAAATTATTTATAAACTTATGATAATAGTGGAATCTTTATACAACTTATACAAATGCTATAAATTACTTTCAAATGCATCCACAGAGTGAAAAAAATATTATTAGTTTTCTAATAATTCAACGTTTAATTTATGTCACTTTTATAAGTTCAATCTATATTTGTAGTTGAGTAATAATATATTTACTACATGGTAAGTAAAATACATTATAACGACCACGTACTAATATCACAGCCCCAGAAAAAAAAAGTTCTATGACCTTCCGATAAGGCCATGTGTCATACATTTTTTGGGTTGCTGATTTCAAAGTCGGGGTCCGTTTGATTCCATCAAGGTAGATTTAAGGGTATTTGAATATCAAATTGGCATTGTCAAAATAATCATTGGAAAATCCGAAAACACACACATACACACACATGTATCTATTTGGCATTTGCCAAATCTGGACTTCTTTCGACTCGAATTCGTCAAGATCAAGGTCAAATAAAGGTCAAATCCCTAAAATCTAACGATATATAGAGATCATGTATAGTCATTTGTTTGTTGTTTTCTTTTCAGTGACACTAAAATCATAAACATATAGTTTTTTTTTCGGATTTTATTACAGTTGTTTCACCGTTTGACCTTCAAATGATCTAAAGTTTGCAAAATGGGATTAAGCGCCGCTTATATTCGGATTCAGTAATTTCAAAAACAATTATCAAATGATTTGGAACCCCAAATCCCCATTTACTGTCGATACATCAGTCGAGAGTTCTAATAGAACTATTTGGCCTTGGGATATCTTCCAGAGGTCATTTCAATCGACAGATCTAGATGTATTTGGATGTAAATTTTTTGCTATTACAAAATCTGGGACGAAAAGTATTATATCGTCAGATTTGACGGGTTTGACCTTTGTTTGTCCTTAATTTTGACGTGGTGGGGAAAATGGACAAGAGTATCGTGATCAGCGACTCAAAAAACGTAAAGATAAACTGTTTAAAGAACCAGAATTCCAATCCACAGTCAATACATAGGACAAAATCTAGAAAACGAGAATATTTTTTATTTTGGATGACCTACAGAGGTCGGTAATAAAAAGAAGTCAATACGTATTTAAACTTAAAATTTGCCGTTCTTTGACCTCTGTTTGACCTTTATCTTGAGTTGGGGCTTCAAAAGAAGCCCGGATTCGGATGCAGTGATGTCAAAAACATACGAGGGTGGTCCGATAAGTACTTATCCTCACCGCCCGATGGCGCCACTCTCGCAAAAGAAATATTCTATCACGTAGTACAACCTTCTCGATGGTTACTGTCAGGATTTCAGCCGGATCAGAGTTGTAGTTTATTTTTGAGAGCGTGTCCGTTGTTTTTTGAAAAATGGAAAAAGAGCAGTATCGGTCGGTGATTCGATTCTTGTTTTTGGAAGGGAAATTGCGCAGAGAAATCAAAAAGCGCTTGGATGCTGTGTACGGTTACACTTCTCCTTCGATGGCGACCGTCAAAAATTGGTTTAACGAGTTACAACATGGTCGCACGTCGATTTTTGAAAGGCCACGTCCAGGTGCTCCGAAAACGGCTACCACGGTGGGTAACGTGACAAAAATTCACGATCTCGTATTGGCAGATCGACGATTGAAGGTGCGCGAGATAACTAAGATCGTAGGCATCTCAAAAGACCGCGTGGGTCATGTCCTGCATGAAATTTTGGGCATGAGAAAACTGTCGGCGCGATGGGTGCCGCGTTTGCTCACTCCGGACAACAAGCGTAACCGTGAGACAACTTCAGAGCAATGTCTGACGCTGTTTAAGCGCAATCCGAAGGAGTTTGGAGTTTCTGCGTCATTTCGTGACAGTCGACGAAACATGGATCCACTGGTATACACCAGAGACCAAGGAACAGTCGAAACAGTGGACTTTACCCGGCGAAAGTGCTCCGAAGAAGGCGAAGACTGCCTCATCGGCCGGATAGGTGATGGCCACCGTTTTCTGGGATTCACAAGCTGTGATCTACATCGACTCCCTGGAGAGGGGCAAAACGGTCACAGGGCTGTACTATGCCGAATTATTGGGCCGATTCGACGTCGAATCGCAGAAAAAATGGCCCTATTTGGCTAAGAAAAAAGTGCTCTTCCACCTTGAGAACGCACCGGCTCACACCTCCGCCGTCGCCATGGCCAAATTGGTCGAATTAGGCTACGAACTGCTGCCCCATCCACCTTATTCTCCAGATTTAGCCCCGTGCGACTTCTTTTTGTTTCCAAACGTGAAAAAGTCACTCGCCGGGTAGAACTTTGAGTCGAATGAGGAGATAATCGCTGCCACGGAAGCTTACTTTTCAGACCTCGAGGAAACGTATTTTTCAGACGGGTTAAAGAAGTTGGAGCATCTCTGGGCCGAGTGTATCGAACTAAAAGGAGACTATGTTGGAAAATAAAACACCATTTTTCCAAAATTTTCGTTTTTCTTTTGTAGGCTAAGTACTTATCGGACCACCCGTATATATATGTATAAATATAGGTTTTAGATTTTTCAACGATTATTAGATTATTAGATTATTAGATTTTTTAACAATTTGACCTTCAAATGTCCTTTAATCTAATCTGATGAGGTCAAACTGACCCCAAATTTGAAATCAGCGACCTAAAAAACGTGTAAAACACACGGTCTCATCTGAAGATTAGAGGACTTTTTTTAATTTGTGGCTTTGTTATCAAAGATTTATTATACAACTTAAATATTAAAATCATTATAGGTACCGCAATTAACTCAGATATTCTATTATTGATATAAATATCTAAAACTCAATAATACTTGTTAATGTTTATTAACTAGAAATGAAAACCGCAATATAGTTGTGAGGAACTCCAAGGTAAGTATTCGTTCTAAAATTCAAATAAGATATTTGGTTTATATATGGTTTTGTTAGGGAAAAATTTGAACAGGAATGAAAATTACTGATTAGTTTTATAAATTATCCATTTTAATCATTTAAATATTTAAACTACTTATTATGTGCATGTTATTTTTCTACATTTCATTTCTTAAGTAACTTCATATAATAAGATCTATAAGGGGTAATAAGTATAATATAAATATCAAGTTTTATTATTAGGAAACAGATAATATATTTTCAGTCTTCGAATGTGTATGAAAGTAATTTATGACATTCGTGTAAGTTTCCAAGTTTTATGTATACGAGGGGTGTTCAACAAGTAAGGTGACTATGGTTTTCTCAAAAAACATTTATTTATTGGTCAATATTTATATAGTTCTCATCAAAGAAACCTCCGTTAGTTATAATACACTTGTGCCAAAGCTTTTTCCAATCATGAAAGCACTTTTGATAATCATTTTGAGGTAGGGCCTTGAGTTCTTTCAGTGATGCAGTTTTTATCTCCTCAATCGTTGAAAATCGATGTCCTTTCATGGATTTCTTAAGTTTTAGGAAAAGAAAAAAGTCACTGAGAGCCAAATCTGATGAATATAGAGACTTAGGTATGACTGATGTCGGTTTTGGCCAACAAATCTCTCACAAGCAACGATGAATAAGCAGGTGCATTATTGTGATGCAAAATCCACGAATTGTTTTTCCAAAGTTCTGAACGTTATTTGCGTATTGACTCTCGCAAACAAAGCATAACTTTAAGATAATACTCCTCATTGACCGAACGACCTTGTGGTAAAGATTTCTGATGAACTACACCACGAAAGGAGGCAATAAGCAAAACCTTGACATTTAATCGAACTTGGCGTGCTTTTTTGGGTGTTGGCTTTTCTAGGGTCTTCCATTGAAACGATTGGACTTTAGTTCCGACATCATAACCATATACCCACGATTCATCACCAGTTATAACCCTTTGTGAAAATCAGGATCTTCATTGTCTTCATTCACCATCTCCTCCTCATCGATGGTCATGCGACAGTTCTTTTCATCAAAATTAAGCAATTTTTGAACGAATTTCACTGAAATTCTGTTTTCAACCGTTGTTTTGTCATCGAATCGGTGTCCTTTGAGTGGTTTTTTTAGTTTTGGAAACAGCC